CCTTCTCCCAGTTTGACCAATCATCCCTTGAGGGACGATTCAGTGAGCAGAACACAGAGAGTGGATTACTCCCAAATACCGTCACCTCCTGGAACATGAAGTAAAGTTTCCTCATGGAAACATGAAAATAAGGGAAGAAATGTCTCCTGCAGACTGTCTGGGTGAAGGCACACAACTGCTCGCTGGCTGGAGTGAAGATTCTTCCCACACCAGTGACGATAGTCTCTCTAGCTCCGCCCCCCAGGGTCTGGGAAGCTCCAACCCCCACCAGGTTCCTCTCCAGGATGAAGCGCTCAGGGTCCAGGTGTCTCCCCCAATTCCCCGCCCAGCCACCAGGTGGCAGTGGCTCACTCCTCCTGCCCCTCCCTTTCCTGGGAGCCTCACATCCCACCCACCTCCTTGGTCCTTAGGGGTTGGGTCAGCTCACAGCTCCACTCTGCATTCCAGCCCCTCTCAAGGCAAGGGGGCTGCACTGTCCTGAGGCACCAGGTCCCCAGTGTGGCTGCATCTCCACTTCCTCAGGAAGTGAGGGGTGTCCAGCAGACAGGAAGACACCAAGATGACCCATGTGGAACTTGAGGGCAAGAGGAAGGCCATTGTCGTGGGTAGTTGGGATGTCTTCCCATGGAATTTGAAGAAGAAGAAGTGGTCGTGCAAAGGGGCTGGGGCAAGAGTGTTTCAGGCAGAAAGAAAAAGTCATGCAAAGACCCAGAGGCCCCAACGGGTCGGCCTTTGTTTGAGAGGGAGAAAGGAGACTGGTGTGACCGGAGCCAAGTGAGCCAGGAAAACACTGTGGAGGTCAAAATGGAAATGTAGGAGAGCAGAAAGGGGCAGGCTCTCTGGGGACCTGGTCCACTTGACGGGACACTGAATGACTCCGTCTCAGAGCCTCATATGGGGTACTATTTACTGAGACGGAGCAGGGACAGAGGCAAAGAACAGGGAAAGTTCTGTCCAAGCTCACAGTCAGGACTGTCAGGAGCCTTGACTCTTGGACCCCTTGCCCAGGGAAAGTCATTCACCCTCACCCACCGGCTGCCCGACCCTGGAGATATGCTCACTGACATTTCGACTGCAGAATGTGACATGCACAGATGAGCTGACAGATGAAGCTCTCATCGGCTCCATCCACCCCACCCCATTGCTAAGTCCACTAACAAACACATCAGAAGCGTGCAATCGGCCACGACTTCAGCTGGACGCTCCTCTGCTCCTACTTCCCATCCTACCCCTGAGTCGGGTGTTAAGGGAGCACCGGCAGCTCCATGAAGCACATCCACAGACCTCAGTGGCCACATGCAATACCACTTTTCTTCTTGAGCATCGGAACCCAAGCAAGTGATCCTGGTTGAGGGGCAGCTGGCCTCCAAGTAGGGACACGGAGGTTCATCTTCGTTCCTGAGTCTTCTGGCTCCGTCATCTCAAGCGCGCAGCGTCTAATGGCACCATATTGGAGAAAAGCACAGAGTATGGAGCTCGGGAGGTGCCAATGGTCAGGACTTGATCCTGCAGCCTTAGGAAGGCTGGGAAATGTGGTTGTGTGTCCAGAGGGTGAGGAGGACAGTCCCACAGGCTCTGCCCTTGTGCTGTGGATCTCCCAGGGTGGTCCTGGTCCACATGGCCCATCCTGCCTGCTGCCCGTCTGCCCCTCACTCCCAGCTTGCTGAGCCGCAGCTTCTTTCTGCTTCTTGAGCACCCAAACCCTCCTGCCTTAGAACCTCGGTCCCGGCGGCTCCTGTTCCCAGGAGGCTCTTCCTCTGACCTCTCCGAGGCTGAATTCTTTTCACCCAAGCGACCCCACCAGACCCCAGCCTCCCATCAGTTCCTGCCCCTTGGTCTGACTTCTTCTTTAAACCAGTTGGTATCATCCAGAATTACATGATTGATTCGCTCCTTTATCGTCCCTCTTCCCTGCTAAAAGGCGAACATGAAGAGCAGAGGAACTTGGCTGGCCCTGATCTCCCTGCCAGAACCCAGCAGGGGCCCCGTGAAGAAGTGCCGAGCCGGAGAACGACTCTCCCAGGAATGGTCTCGGCTCCAGGCTTCTGTTCGCCTGGGGCCCTGGGGACTTCCAGGGCACCTGGAGCAGGAGTCAGGGTTTTGCAACAAAGCAGCCTGCAGTGGAGATCCATTTCCACGTGGCCTGGGCCGGAAGTTTACTCAACTCCTCAGTCTCCATCGGATGGCCTTGACCTTGGTGCTGTAAAGTCAAGAACAATGTCTCTGAAGATGCCTGAGACTTTGCAAGTGCTCAAAGGAATGGCAGCTGCCTGCGATCGCAGCTGTAGAGGGGAATCAGTGGTTCTATTTTAAGTTACTTGGCCTACTCTGTGCCGGCCCTGGGCTAGTGACTGTCCTGAGTGATCCTGGTGATCATGCTGAAGTCATGAGAGAGATGACTATTCTCCCCCAGGTACAAGGGAGAGGGGTCGCCACGCTGAGCAGATGAAAACACAGGCTGCCTACCTAACTCTGAACTTCAGACCCCAAAAAAAGGAATTTTCTTCAGTTGAAGTATATCCCATGCAATATTTGGCACTCAGTTATACTATTGGAAGAAACTGTGTTTTACACTGAAATGTGTATTGCACACCTACGGGTGGCAGCCAGCCCCAGTAAACCAAGATGATGACACCCTCCCAGCCCCTGAGGGGTGCTGCTGAGGCCCTCAGGGAGAACTTTACAGTCAGTCTTGGAGGAAATTTGGCAACGAATACCAAAGACCTTAAACATATCCTTTTACCTTACAACTTCCTGTGCCTGTGTCATTCTGGTACATCAGCTAATCTTAAAAGTCCTCAGCATGTATTATGGTGGTGGTGGTTATTTTGCACAACAGGCTACAATTGAAAACATCGGTACTTCCATTGAGACAGATAAAAAAGAAATCCTATGCACCAAGACCCACATCGTGGCGATTTAAACTGTTATGGATTGAATCGTGCCCCTACCCCGACCCCACCACCACCAGAAAAGAAACCATGTTGGAAGCCTAAGTCCCCAGTACATACAATGTGGTATTATGTGCAGATAAGGGCCTTTACAGAAATAATCAAGTTAAAATGTGGTCACCCAGGATGGGCTGTAATCTGAAATGACCATTTATTTTTGTTTATGCTTGATGATACTTAATTGGAACCCTGATTGCCGTCTTGGGTTAAAGGGATTGTGGTGGAGTAGAAAACTTTCCAGAAACAGCTACAGGAACATGTTCCTTTGGCTCTCTGACCTATTTTTTAAAACAAGAAAGTTTTGGAGTGGAGCTTCCCAAGTTCCAGTACCCATCCCACCACTTGCTGCCATGCTGCCTTGTTTACCGTGTCCATCAGTTTCCTCATCTCTAAATTGGGGATAATAATAACTCCTACCTTATTGGGTTATTATGAGGATGAAGGTGGCTAGAACATTAAAAAGATACTAAGATCATACCTGTACCTAAAAGGCCCTCTATAAATATTAGCAATTATAATGAGTAATTAGTTGTCCCAAGTTTGTATGTACATATGCATTTATATAAATACTTAATAATATATAATAATATATTGTTTAAATATACATTTTCTTCATCCATAATTTTGGATGATAGGATTATAAGTGATTTTTATTTTTTGTTGATACTGATGAACTCTCCTACTTTTGGGGTGCATTTTTTAAAGATGTTTTTAATTTTAGGAAGGTCATCCTATCTTCTGGCATTCCAACAATTGTTGCCACAACAGTGATATACCAGGGATGGGTTGGCAGCCAGATAACAAATGAGTATTATCATCCCAGGGACCTGGGCTTAGGTTTTTGATGTCAAGGGAAGAGTGGGACATGCAAGTTTACCACTGGTAGGGCCTAGCTCTCCTTCCTGTCCCTGGTCTGGCTTTCACGGGGAGGAGGGATGTAGATAAAAAGAGAAACAACCCATGAACAAAGGGAAGAACTAACCCTCGTCCCTTCCCATGTGGTGTGTGCCTGCACCAGGGGGAAATTCTCAATCATTTATTTGCTTATGTTCATTCTATTTATGCTTTCAAGAAACTTTTTTTTTTTTTGCAGTGCTGGGAATTCAAGAAACATCTAAGTACAGTTGTTTCTTGGCATCTGTGGGGATTTGTTCTAGAATTCTTGAGGATACTAAAATTCATGAATTCCCAAGACCTTTATATAAGATATAAATACATAAAATGGCATAGTATTTTCACATAACCTACTCACATCCTTCCACATAGTTTAATCTCTAAATTACTTATAAATACCTAAGACAATGTAAAAGCTAGGTAAACAGTCATTACCCTGTATCGCTTAAAGAACAATGATAAGAAAATAAAGTCTGGTCATGTTCGGTTCAAAATGCAAATTTTTTTCAAATATTTTTGATCCACTTGTCGCTGAATCCAGGAATTGCAGACAAGAAGGGCAAGGAGCACTCATACATCAGGTACTGGGTTAAGGATAAAAAAAGATGCTTCGGGTAGACATTTTTGTTAACCTCCACACATGAAGGAGAGCGTGGTGCTGGTCTGTGTTTGGCTTGTTTCCCTTGACCTTACGTCTTCAGTGCCAACCATTTTGCTGCAGTGACAGAATTTCATTCTTCCTCTGGGTGGATAATAGTGTACAGACCACATTTCCTTTACCTGTGGTCCACCTGGAGGCAGACTCATGAGTCCTAGAGGTTGGGAAGGGGCCGAGGGACGCCAGATAAAGGGAGGCTGGATCTGATCAGTGCAGGCTGAACACATTTGTGGGAACACACACAAGTCCATTAATAAGTGTATTATCAAAAATGTTAAAAGGATGATGCAGAGGTAGCCCCTGCCACCAAAAGTTCCTAGTGCAATGACGAAGTCGTTGCTAGATGCAAGGTCGGGAATGGTGACCATACCAAGAGTTCAAGCAAGGACGTTCTCTGGGTATCAGGGGCAGATCTCCTCTCCATTTATATGAGGTTTGGATATGGGGGATTCCTCATATCCAAACCTCATATCCAACCTTCAGAGTCTGGTTGGTTGTGAGCTGTGACCAAAAGACCTGACAAGAACAACAGGGGGGAGCAAAGTTTATTTGGGACTCATGGTTTCAGAGGTCCCAGTCCACAGAGGGCCGACCCCATTGTTCTGGGACTGAGGAGAGGCCGAACCTCACGGTGGAAGAGCGTGGAGGAGGAAAGCAGCTCAGGACGTGGCCATCAGGAAGCAGAGAGAGCCCCACTCACCAGGGACAAAATATAAACCTCAAAGGCACACCCCAGAGACCCACCTCCTGCAGCCCACCCTCTGCCCACAGTCACCACCCACTAATCCGCATCCGTGGATTGATGCACTGAGGAGGCCAAGGCTCTCCTGGCCCAGTCCTTTCACCTCTGAACATTCTTGCCTTGTCTCACTCATGAGCTTTGGGGGATTCCTCATATCCAAACCATAGCAGCCTCACATCTAGCCCTCCCCACCCCAGTCCAGGGGCAGGATCAAAAGTTGCCGTGACAGTCTGTCTTCTGATATGAATAACAGCCAGCAGAGGAGACGAGCTCAGCATGGGAGAATGAAAAGCATTCCAGTCCCACAAACGCACACGTTCCCTTTTTGTGATGCAGGTGTACCCACCACCAGGCTAATAACAAGCAGTCGATAA